TGTGGGTCCCCAGCTCCTTTGTGTGGCTGTGGGTCCCCATCTCCCTTGCTCCGAGATGTCTGTTTTGTTTTATGCAGTTTCCTTCAAGCCCAGCCTTTCATCCTAAGGGCCTCCTATGGACTGAATGTTGGCGAGGCCCCAGAATTCCCATGCTGGAGCCTCAAACCCCAGTATGGCTGTGTGTGGAGTAAGGCAGCCGTAAAGGTTACATGAGGCCATAAGGGTGGGCCCTGATCCCATGAGATTAGTGCTCTTATAACAAGGGACACCAGAGAGCTCGCTCACTCTCTCCCCGATGCTGGCACCAAGAAAGGCCACTGAGGGCAGGGTAGGAAGGTGGCGTTTTGTGAGCCTGGAAGAGGGGCCTGGTGAGAACCCAGCCATGCTGGCACCCACCCCTCAGGACTCCAGCCTCCAAAGCCTGAGAAATGAGTGTCTGTGGTTCAAGCCACCCAGTCTGCGGTATTTTGTGAGGCAGCAGGAGAAAGCTATGGAGGGCTGTTATTTTGTTTGTATCATCTCTCATGATTTGAAAGCTCTCTATATTTTTAGTTGTAAAAGTAGTAACCTCGACATTTTTCTAAACCATTCTTTACCATCTACCTCTTTAATATTTATTTGCAAGAGCCCCCCAACCCCCACTGCCCAATATAGTTCAAATATCTTCACTTTCCTCTATGTCTTTCTCACTCCCCACTTCCAAATTCCTGGTATGTTCATAGATCTTTGAATCATGCATCACCTCTTTCCAAATACTTTGTGATTCTGCATTCAGTTCACGAGCTTGGTTTTCTGTTGTTCTGTTTTAATTATTTCTACTTTAGTAACCCTAATGGTTTCTTCTGTTTAACTCATCTTTGAACACCAATAACTCTGTGTAGGATCCGTCCTGCTTAACCCATTTAGAACATGCGCTTCACGCAGCCAGATCACAGCAACTACTGGGGTTTCACCTGGTGTAATCCAAGCCTGAGGGGCCAACTGCAGCTCTCTCCACTGCGGTCCTAACAGATGGAAGGGGACCTGGTCTCCCTTGTGCGATCTGAGCTTGCAGTGTAGGCACCCAGTTAATATCCATGGAGTGATGGTAAATGGAGTCCAAATGCAAGAAGAAATCTGCAAGTAACTGTCCTGGGGCCCAGGGAGCAGGGCCAATGCCCACACCGCCGGGGGGACGTCTATACTGCACAGCTGAGTGGCTCCGCACCCTGTCCCCATGCCCCTGGAAACCCATCAGAGCATTTCCCTGGATGCCTGTCTTTGTCTCTCTTGACTGGGATATTCAGCCTCGCCCCAGTGGCATTTGGACAGGATAACTGTGTGGAGCTGTCCTGTGCAGGGCTGGGGGCCTCTCTGTGGGGTGATCCTGTGCATGGTCGGGGACCTCTCTGTGGGGCTGTCCTGTGCAGGGCTGGGGATCTCTCTGTGGGGCAATCCTGTGCATGGCCGCAGGTCTGCCTGCATCCTTGGCCTCTGCCCATTTAGATGCCTGTGGCAGCCCCTCCTCCAACCAAATCAGCTCCAGACGCTGCCAGTGGCCCCTGGAACCAAAGACAGGGATTCAAAGGCAGGCCAAGGCTGGTCATCTGTCTCTGCCCCACACACAGCAGGCACTTCGATGCCCTCAGCTTGCATTCCAGAAAGATCTGCCACTGTGAGGCGCAGGGCCTTTCTCCCACCTCCCCAATGGCAGAAATACACCTCTGGTGACCTGGGGCCCACCTGGGGACATTACCTGGGCATCGTGCCTCAGAAAACCACACCCTAGGCCAGGTGCGGTGGCTCATGCCTATAATCCCAGCACTTTGGGAGGTCGAGGCAGGTAGATCACGAGGTCAAGAGATTGAGACCATCCTGGTCAACATGGTGAAACCCTGTCTTTACTAAAAACACAAAAAACAGCTGGGCGTGGTGGCGGATGCCTGTAGTCCAAGCTACTCAGGAGGCTGAGGCAGGAGAATCGCTTGAACTTGGGAGGCGGAGGTTGCAGTAAGCCAAGGTCGCATCACTGCACTCCAGCTTGGGCGACAGAGCGAGACACTGTCTCAACAAACAAACAAACAAAAACAAGAACAAAAACCAAACGGAAAAACCCACACCGTACACTGTGGGCCCTGCGGCGGCCGCGGTGCAAGCACCCTCCCCTTGACGCCGCTCCTGTTGCTGCGGGCCTCGTGCTGGCTCCGTGCTCTCCCTTTTCTGGGGCTCTCCCGGGGCCTTCCTGGGGCCCTCCTGGGGCTCTCTCGGGACCTCCCTGGGGTTCTCCTGGTACCTTCCTGGGGCTGTCCTGGGGCTGTCCTGGGGCTCTCCCCAAACGTTCCTGGGGCTCTCCCGGGACCTTCTCGGGGCTCTCCCCAGACCTTCCTGGTGGCTGTCCTGGGACCTTCCTGGGGGCTTTTCTGGGGGTCTTCCTGGGGCTCTCCCAAGTCCCTCCTGGGACCTTTCTGGGGCTCTCCCGTGGCCCTCCCAGGGCTCCCCTGCGCCCGTGTGTCTTTAGTGGGAGGGCGCTTTCAGCCTCCTTCTCCCACGCACCGGTCCCGCCAGGGCAATCCAGGGGCCGCGGTGGCTGCTGAGTCCCCGGCCCGGGAGGCGCGGTCACCCCGCAGTCGGATGCCACCGCGGCCCACGCCGCCCCGCAGCGCGCCCCAAGGCTTCCCGCGCGGGGACTGAGTGCCGCCCTGGGCTCTTCCCCGCCCCTTCGCCCGCGCCGCGCCGCACCAGCGCCCCCTGGCGTCCATCCGCGCGCCGCGCGCTCCGACTCCCGCCCACCCTAGAGGGAACGCGGAGCCCTGCAGGTGACTTCAAGGCACAACGTGTAGCGGGAATTTCGTCGCTGAGAAATGCAGGGTGTACGCCGGTTCTCTTTCCTTATGCTGTATACACACTAGACAGAGCTTTTGGCAAGGTATTCACTGAGGTTACAGGAGACAGGGACTTGGGACTTGTTTTCTAGATTGCTGAAAATGAAGCTTTGAGAGCAGGAATGACACATAAGTGGCTGAAACGTAAAAAACTAGGTCAAATTACAAATACAATAGAAATAGCCACCGGGTCCACCCAGACCCGGTCCCTAGCCGCCTTGCAATCTGCTGCTTTAACTAGCTGTTTTCATCCGATTATAACCAACCATCCACCCCTTCAGTGGGTCCAGGGACTGCAGAGTCACATAAGAGAGCATCGCATACAGCAAGTAACACATTGAGGGGCACTCCCTAAAGACAACACCCACATAAAGAGAGCACTACATAAAGAGAGCACACACTAAAGATAGTATCTACATAGAAAGCATCCCCATAAAGAAAGCACCCACATAGAGAGAGCACCCACACAGAGGGAGCACCCACATAGAGAGAGCACCCACATAGAGAGAGCACCCACACAGAGGGAGCACCCACATAGAGAGAGCACCCACATAGAGAGAGCACCCACATAGAAAGAGCACCCACATAGAGAGAGCATCCCCATAGAAAGAGCATCCCCACAGAAAGAGCACCCATACAGAGGGAGCACTCCCACAGAGACAGCACTAACATAGAGAGCACCCCTATAGAGAAAGCACCACCATAGAGAGAGCACCCACACAAAGGGAGCACCCACATAGAGAGAGCACCTACATAGAGCACTCACATAGAGCATCTCCATAGAGAGAGCACCCCCATAAAGACAGCATCCACACAGAGGGAGCACCCCCATGGAGACAGCACTCAGAGCATCCCCATAGAGAGAGCACCCCCACGAAAAAGAGGACCCACACAGAGGGAGCACTCACCTAGAGAGAGCACCAACATAGAGAGAGCACCCCATAGACCACCTACATAGAGCACCCCCATAGAGAGAGCACCCACACAGAGAAACCACCTACATAGAGAGAGCACTCATATAGAGAGAGCACCTACATAGAGAGAGCACTCATATAGAGAGAGCACCTACATAGAGAGAGCACTCACAAAGACAGCACCCACGTAGAGAGAGCACTCACATAGAGAGAGCACCCACATAGAGAGAGCACTCACATAGACAGCACCCACGTAGAGAGAGCACTCACATAGAGAGAGCACTCACATAGAGAGAGCACTCACATAGAGAGAGCACCCACATAGCACCACTGTCAGGGTGGAGGGGTGCAGATGCAGAGGGAGAGGGCTGCCAGGAATGCCCCACCCTGCTCACTGCCTGCCCCATGCCGGGAGCTCTGGCCAGGTGGCCTTACTTGCCTACAGGTGTCTGTGGCTGCGAACCTGTCTGTTTGACCTGGTGGAGAATGGAGCCTCCCATTAATCCCCAGATGCTCCTGCCTACTGTCAAAACCTAGGAAGAGAGAGAGAAGACACTTACCAACAATACTCTGAAGCCAGCAAGGTAAGAAGCTTTGCCCTTGGGGACCAGGTAAAAATTATAACAGATGCTGCAGCCTCTGCCAAAATGAATCTGTAAATGAGTCACTTTGGTAGCAGGCGCAGTAGTGAAGAAAAATACTTTTTTTCATTCGTGGGGGTAAACAGCTGAAAAAATAATATTAGTAAGGGGGAAAAACAAAAGAGAAGGCTGGGGAATTCTTCCTGCACAAAAACCACGGAGCCAAACCTCTCGGTGCCTGTGAGAGATGACGACGCTCATTCCTCTCTGGTCCTACCACCAGTCGCCACACTTTGCCCTTTGTAGCCAAGGACAGGCCTGCGAGCTGGAGAGAGCAGGAGAGCCACGGAGTCTGGAGCCAGACACCAAAACTGCTGAGAAGCGAAGGAGGACTGTGGAAGTCAAGGCGTGAGTGTCCTTCACACAGCCTGCAGATCTTTCACCACCTGCGTCCTGGAGGCTTCCTCCGCGTCCTCCTGGGGTTCTCCTGCCTTGGGAACCAAGCTCCTTCCGAAGCAGCGCAGCACCCCCGCCAGCCCCGCCCCACCCCGTAGGAAGCTCAGAGAAGGCGCAGAGACCTAAGGACTACAGGGTGGGCGATCATCCAAGCTCCACCAGTAAGGGCAAGGAGTACGCGGCTGGAGCAGGTTTCCGGCCCAGAAGGCATTTATTTCCCTGAAACGTCTGAAGACGCCGCTGCACAGGCTTCTGACCCTGCAGTGTCGCTGTGCGGGAGCTCAAGGTCATTTCAGGGCCGGAGCAAGACTTTGGGGTTCTTCACCCCGCGTGTGCTGGGCCTCACTCAGTGGGTAGACTTTCCCCGAATCCCCGCTTTCAGCCTGGGCCCTACCCTGAACCTTAGTCCTGTGACTGCTGCTCCCAGGACAGAGATTTCTGGTTCAGTTTCTCCCAAAACCAATGCCCTCATCCTCTGCGGGAGTAGGCTTGGAAGACCACGCCAGCGTCTCACTGCTCCCTGAAAGACGTCCAGCCGATGTTCCTCTTCCCTCTCATGCTGTCCCTCGGGGGTTTCGGGCCCCAGTTTCCCGGCCTGCTGGGCTCACACACTCCCTCGGCTTCCTAGAGATTCGGCCTCCGGCTCCCTGCAGTCTCCAGGTCGGCTTCCACTCCCGGCTTCCTGGCCACACCACTCAGCGCTGGTTATTGCATCTGTGTTATTCCCTCCTCTGCTCTTTATGTGGTGGGTTTATGTAGTTTCCATTCTTTACCTTATTAAGACAAATAAAAAATACAAAGAATAATGAAACGGATACAAGCTGTTCCGCCCCGTTAAGAAACAGAACCTGCAGCACAGCTCAAACCCCTTGGGCTCCCCTCCTCCTGCCTCTCCCCATTCCCCCACCCCACACAGAACCCTTGCTGTGGGTTAAATGTGTTCCCCCTCAAATTGATATGGTAATAGCCTAAATCCCCAGCACCTAGAACATGAGCTTATTTGGAAATAGGGTCTTTGGAGCTGTAAGGAGTTAAGATGAGGTCGTTCTGGAATATGGTGGTCCCAAATCCAATGTGCCGGCCTCTTTGTAATAAGTGGAAATGTGGACACAGGAGCACACAAGGAGACGGCCAGGGGAAGAGTGCAGTGATGCTGTTGCCAGCCAGGGAGCCACTGGCAGCCAGAGAGGATGGGACAGACCCCTCCCTGGTGACCCGGAGGGACTGTGGCCCTGTGACGCCTGGCTCTTGGATATCCGGCTTCCAGAATCGCGAGACAGTCTGTTTCTGCTGAGGCCACGTGGTCTCTGGTGCTTCGGGTGGTAGTTGCAGGAAACCATAGGCTCTCCCTGAACTGGGCATTTGTCTCTTACCCCTAAGACCCTTTCTGTGAGTGTCTCCTGGTTTCTTCCTCCACAGGATGGACAGCAAAGGTGAAATGGAGGAGGAAAGCCTGGGGAGGCATGAGGAAGGCTGCTGGGCACCTGAGACCTTGGGCAGGGCCCATTAGGGACCCTGGGCCACAGCTCAGCTCAGCCAGGGCCCTCCTAGGTCTGCACAGCCCCAGGCCTCATCACAGCCGTCATGGTGCTGCTCCTGCCACACCGGTAAAGGTCCCACTGCACGAGTGGAGAGAAGCGTCTCCCTCGCGTTTCTGGGTCTGAGACTGCCTTGGACTGGGGGAAGCTCCATTTTGGGGTGGGACCAAGAGTCAGAGACCCCCTCAGGGGCAGCTGTGAACGTGTGGACAAGTTTCTGTGCCTGGGCAGCTAGATAAGTCCAGCCTCCTGATCCTTTTGTGGCTGCAGAGACTGTCCCTTGTCCCCTAGTATCCACTCTTCCTTCTAGAACCATCTGGGCTGTCCCAGATATCCTGTGAAAGACTTCGCTCCCCAGCCTCCATGTAGCTAAGGGACCATGTGTGACTCAGTGGCCCAGGACAGCAGCAGAAGTGGCCCGAGAAGCTTCCGGCTGGGGTATGTATAGGGTGGCGCCTCTTGCCCCTTGCTCTACTGGTGTGCAGGGGACACAGACGTGAGCCAGGACCCAGGAGGCTGCTGGACGGCTCAGGCTGGGTAGGAGCCATCCCTCTCTGACTCCTTTCACCCGCTGATGTGTACCGGGGCAAGGCTTACCTGGATGAACACCGTGAATGAATAGTAGGAACAGCAATGGGGTAAGCCCCGCCTTGGGGCATCGCAGCACCAGGAATGCGGCTTGGCACTAACACGCATGACCTCGGCTAAGCTTCACGACAGTCCTATAAGAGGAGGGCTGTCTTTATCCTGTTTCTCAGATGAGAAGACTGAGGCCCAGAGAACTGCACAGCCGCTCAGGCCGCACAGGCAGGAAAAGGTAGATATGGGATTAAACTCCAGCCTCTGCCATTCGTCACTGGCTGAACGTGGCAGTTACCCCTCTGAGTTCCCTCAGCTGTCTAAGTGGCAAGCGGTGCCCTCAGGGCTGCTGTGAGGTCCGAGTGAGACAAGGACCAGCCGGGCCCCATTAAAGGGCCATTTTGAGGTGCAAAAAGGCTGATATCTGCAACTCTGTTGGTGCAACCTCATATGTAAAGAGCCAGGGGAGGGGCTAGAACCACAGCAGACACTGTCGTCGTCCTGATCTGAAGGGCACCTTAAAGGGGAGCTGCACCCCCAAACACCGGGAGCTTTTCCATTGTCCTGGGAGAACAGGGGAAGCCTGGTGTGGAAAATGCATTGGGTTTAACTGCAGCCTTTTGTGGATGGCAGTGCTGTGCGTGTGTGTGTCTGTGTGTGTGTCCAGGGATGGGGTGGTGGCATTTTATTGGTAACCTAAATAACTGTAGTGAAAGCTTCCAGCACAGCAGAAAGGCGAAGTCACTCATTGTTTTTTCATTAAGAGTGTCTAAATGACAGATTGGAGCAGGTGCAATATTATCATTTACTTTGTCTCTCTGCCATTTTTTAGGCTACAAGTGCTCTCCTGGGTCTTAGGAGGAACTAGTTGAAAACATTCAAGGCACCAACCATTCCAATGTTTTTAACAATTTAAAAGCAATTGAAGCTAGCAGAAATACTGCACCGTGAAAACATCAGTGCTGTTAACCCACTGGACAGGACACTCCAGGATCACGCTTAAGTTGCACTTTATTCTCAGACGCCAACTCCATCCCCAAAGGACGCTATGATAAGAAATATCTTCTCCAGAGCAAAGACAATCTTGCCCAAGGTGCTCCAAAGATGTCCAGGCATAAAACCAAGCCCCCGCCTTTAGAAATGATCGAGTCAGGCAGCAAGCTTGCCTCCCTGGGAGCCCCCACCCCCACCCTACCAACCGCATGTTTCTGCTTGTCTCTCTGGACTCTGGGGCTCCAGACCAGGGCCCCAGACACTGGAACTCAGGGGACCCCTGGCTGCACTCCTCATCCTAACCAAACCATTTAGTAAGTGTGATCTTACCAGCCAGCTGCTTACAGGGGAGATGGGGTGAAAACTGTAGTCTCCAGGAAATGGGATCCCCATCCTTGGACTTAAGTGTCCTGTCTCCCTGCTGAAGTGCAAGACACAGACATCTCGGATTCCTGCAACAGGTGTGGGGCTGGGGTACTCAGAGAAGATGAACAGACTGGCCCACACAGGAGAGGCTCAAATGCCCTCTGGAATTTTCCCACCTGGGATTATACAGCAGATACATTACGTGAAAGGAAGCCCCCAACTTTCATTAGATTTTCATCAGGAATGATCTTGTTAAATATTTAAGATGGGCTTTTGAGAATGTTATTTTTGAAGAATCATATGACAAAGAGAAGAACACAGGGAAGCATAAATTTTTAAAATTCATTCTCTCTATATAATAATTCTACGAGGCATTTATTGCTGCTCAGCTCTAAGGAGAACCAATCAGCAAGTATCTTTCTTGTGGCCAATTATCCTGTCCTCTCGGCCCCAGGACCACCCGTCTGCAATTGCCAATCCCAGCTGTTTACGTGAACTAATACCAGTTGGCTGGATGAAGACGGTAGCTCGGATTTTTTTTAAGGGGTCTGACTTTTGTGTTCTCACTAAATTAACACCGTCTCTCTTACTAAATTAAAAAGATTATCTTTTGGCATAGTAAGGTCCAGTCAAAGCACACACATACACACACATTTGCACGCACAGACATGCCATGCAGGTTCACACACACACTCACCTTCACACACACACTCACCTTCACACACACACACACGCACACACACACGCACAGACACGCCATGCAGGTGCACACACTCATCTGCACATACAGACGGCATGCACACACACGCCATGTAGGTGCACACACACACACTCACCTGCACAGACACACCATGAAGGTGCACACACACTCGCATGCACACACACTCACTTGCATATACATGGCATGCACAAGCATGCGCGCACACACACACTCACCTGCACACACACGGCATGCACACACACGCACACACACTCACCTGCCCACACACATGGCTTGCACACACACACACCTGCACACACACATGGCATGCACACACACACATGCACATACAAGACACACACACTTGCACACACACAAGACATGCACACACTTGCATGCACAGATATGCCATGCAGGCACACACACACGACACACACATTCACATGCACACACTCATACACACATGCACATACATGATACACACACTGGCACACACATGACATGCACACACAGGCACACTAACCCTTCATGCTCTCAGACACTTCCTGTCCCACTTAGGCTGCGGGCCTGGAGCCGGAGGGCAGGACAGAAGGTTGGGAATCCCAGGGCTTGTGTGTTTCCAGTGCTGCCCAGACTCTGTCTCCTGCTGGGAAGGCAGGGCCATGGGGCAGGGAGCTCACCCGGGTCACAAAAGCCCAAGGCGAAGATGATGACAATGATGGACAAAAGGAATAGTGGGGGCACCTGGGAGGCGTGACATCACATACCTGAGCCCTGGCACTGCCCCATCGATCCCGCCTTCCCGAGGGTACCCAGCAAGTGTGCCCTACTTCAGGCCCCATTTCACTAGTCGGCCGACATGGAATCCCCACCAAGGTGCAAGCAGATGCAGAAGACGGGAGGTGCTGGCGAGCCAGGTAGGGCACCCCCCGGCGAGCCCCCCAGAGGGTAGAACGCCTGGGACTTGTCTCTCAAGTAAAAGTCGAGGCTACATGACTGGGGTTCTGTCCCCAAGGCTGCCCCCGGTGCAGATAGCCACCGCCAGTCCACAGGATGGTGGAACAAGAGCAGATTCCATCCACTTACCGTCCACCCTCCAAAGTGTAGCCCTCAGACCTCACCTAATTGCAGAGGAGATGGCAATGTGTGCCCCTAACATGTGGTTTCCTGATGAAAGAGACACCTGCCATCTCTGCCACACTGAACACAAACCCTGGGCCTGCACACTCTTCTCAGTTCTACAGTAGAACATACTTGAGAAAAGAAAAGCTGGCTTCAAAGGACAGGACGGAACCTGCTCAGGGATAGCTGAACTTGAATCTGGATTCAAAGCAGATGAACAACATATGATGGGCCTAGTATTTGGGGTCAGGGAGCCACCTTCTAGACCACCAGGACGGTGGAGGGCAAAGGAGGGTTTCTTATAGCGTTTCCCTCACCCCTCCTCCTGACAGGCTGAGGCACCTGGTCCCTGAATTGCAGGAGGCTGTGCCCTTTAGCCAGGCTGCACAACCTTCCGTGGCTGTGAGGGGCAAGGCTGGCCCTGGCTCCAGCCCCCCGCCACACTGCTTTGCCCAGCAGCCCCGGACTCTCCCGCCTGCGGTGCGCAGGTTCAACGCCCCCATATGATTGACAATACGTCATTTGGACTGCCAGCTGTTTGCTAAGCTGCATGTTAGCCAGAGTTCTGCAGGGAAGCAAAGCTAATAGGGTGTGTGTGTGCGCGCGTGTGCGTGTGCGTGTATGTGTGCACACATCTATATGTCTATGTCTTTGTCAAGAGGAAGACAGACATCTATTTTAACAAAAATTCACTCACTGATTGTAGGGACTGGCAAGGCTGAAATCTGTCGAACCGTCTTGCTGGCTGAGAGTCTGGTAAGAGTTGATGCTGAGGTCCTGAGCACGCGATCTGCAGGCTAGCCGGCGGGGAACTCTAGCTGAGTTCCTACATTATCAGCTTGAGACAGAATTCCTCCTCCCTGGGAAACCTCAGTCTTTGCCTTTAGACCTTCAGCTGATTGGATGAGGCCCACCCATGCTGTGGAGGGCCCTCTGTTTACTGAAATGCAACTGGTTATAGGTGTTAAACACTATAGTGTATCTACTATTTATACTATCAATAGCGTAGCAGGTGCATTGAGTTAACGCTGTCAGAGAAGACGGTCCTCCTTAAAGGCAAACCTCAGGACATGTGAGAGGTCTGTGCAAAACCTCCTGTCCACACAGAATATAAGCAATATTAGCTGGTTAGTCATTTACACATTAGTATAAACAAGTACTCCCATCCTAGCCATTTCTATAAACAGAAAATACCTTCCCAGCAACATCCAGATGGGTGTCTTAACTGCACAATGGCACGGCTGGGCCAGCATGACAAGGTGACACTCACCACCACAGCTGCCAACAGGAACTTGCCTCCTCCTCCTGCCTGGACTTCCACCAGTACGTTTTACATTTGTGTTTTAATTCCGTTGAAGGAAACCAGGAAATTTCTCTAAAAACAGTGCCCTCCAGTGGGCAAAATTCCATCGTCTAGCCAGGCAGCTGGGCCAAAGGTGGCCCCAGGCAAGCCAACCGTGGTGCCTACATCCCTGAAGGGTTGTTGGAAAACAGAGACAATGATTCAGGCAGGCCCTGAGTGGCCCACACAGCCACCGTTCCTTTATTTGTCATCTGGCCTTTGTAGAGAAAGTTTGCTGAGCCCCCATCTGAGCATCTTTCATCCTTCTCTCTCCATGTCTTGCTCCACACTCCACCGTCTACCACTTCCTGGACAGGCATTGCTGGCTCAGCCTGAAGCGATGCTGTGCTGACACTAACGGTCTTTAGGTACTTCCCCCTGCCTTGGTGCATCTGCCTCCCGCTCCAGACCCCTCCAGACCCCGCCTGTCCTGCTCACGGTGTTTGTTCTTCACCCAGAACTGACCTGGTGCATGTAGGTATTCACCAAGCCTAAATACTCATCAAGCGTAGCAGGTGCACAGAGTTAACGCTGTCAGAGGAGACAGTCTTCTGCTTAAAGGCAAACCTCAGGACACGTGAGAGGTCTGTGCAAAGCCTCCTGCCCACACAGAATTTAAGCAATGTTAGCTGGTTAGTCATTTACACATTAGTATAAACAAGTACTCCCATCTTAGCCATGAAGGATAATTTAAAAGAGAGGAAAGTTTGGGCAGAATCAAAACACCGATGCCGGAGCAGGTGGGAGACCAGAGAGGAAGCCCTCTCTGGAGACAGGAAAGAAGGGACTAAAAATGGGAGGTGGCCAGCACTGAAGACAAACTGTCTCTACTTCATCACTTCCCCAGGACTTGGCCCAGTTAACAGCTCCTCAAACCTTTCACTGGGCAAAGACTGCTCGGTGAGTGACTCACAGACACGAAAAGCACAGGCACTGCTGCTCTGCACCAAGACCGTTTCCCTGCAGGGCCGCAGGGAGGATTTCCCGGGGTCTCCAGAACACAGGACTCTGAGGTGTCAGTCCACCCTCTGTGGGGGAAAGGACTCCAGGGGAAATGTCTGGTTAGACAAAGCCACACATGTGCACTTCCTCCGGGGCTGCTCGGAGCCTTCGCTGTGCTCACACGTACGCTGTCACCTCCGGGAGAGGCCACGGGTGGCAGCGAGTCCTGAACTCTTTCCAACACGAGCTGCCCCTCACTTTCTGCCTGGCCTGCTGGAAACACCGAGAGAAGCCAATCTTCCGAGGACCTCCGTCTGGGAAAACTGACCTGGGGGCCACGCTAAGGGGAAAGCTCCCTGTTCTCTAACTCAATGCTCTCTTCCAGGGTGGAGGCAGGGATGATGGCTTTCATCATTCGTAGGAGGATGGCATAAGCCCTGAGAGGTGAGAAAGGTAAGTAACGCCATGCTTTCCAAAGTCCCTCTGCCCACAGCTCCTCCTTCTGAAGAAGAAAGGGAAGGGAAGACGATCACTAGGAAAGGAGGGAAGGCGGGGCGCCAGGTGAGGGAGAGGCTGGGGGAGGCCCTGCTGCACCCCCTCTGTGCCTCCCTGGGACAGGCCTCCCAACCCTCCCTCTGCTGGCAGCCTAGGTCTGTCCAGTCTCAGTTCCGCCCCGATGCCTGCAGCAGAGCCTGCTGTGGGGACCTGCTGGAGACGTGCAGTGTGCACCCAGCCTCTCATCAGCTCCAGGCTGCGCTGTCACCCCATGGACAGTGACTTCTGGCATCCACACACTCCAGACAGATGTGCAGCCGGCGCTGCCAGCCCGGAAGGATGTCTGACACGTTTCTCAGCTGTGTTGCCTCTTTCAAGGTCACTGGCTTGAGCTCTTCCCTGCTCCAAGCACATGGACATGGCAGCGGGCAGCAGGCAGATGGTGCGCGGTCTCACGTCCTCGGGCACCCGGCGGCGCGGGGACCCCTGCGGTCTCTGCACTGTGGGCACCTGCAAGCAGAGCTCTGCAGATGAAACTGAAGCCCCCCATCATCACACACCAGGCTCCTGCCGCAGCCCCTGCGCTGCCCTCAGAACCGGCCTGCACACCCGCCCCACTGAGAGGCAGAGCTCTGCAGCTCCACAGCCCACGTTGTGCTGGTCAAAGGTACCTGAGATGCCAGGGACTCCGGGGGCACAGGTGGCCGTGAGCTCTGGCTCTGCAGCCCTGCTCACTGCAGGTCTCCATGACAGTAATACCTGTGTGTATTGTATATATTTTCTAAATTTTCTGTGTACTGTGTTTTGATGTCTTAGAAAAGCTTTCTGGCTGGGGAGAGCCTGTCCCTCCAGGGGCTGGCCAATTCTGATAAAGCGATAAAGCAAGGGCTCTGAGAGCATGCCTTTTCATATGCAAACTAGCCAGCAGACCTCCTCTCTCCAGCCCTAAAGCCCCCCCACCCTGGGCAATATTCCCCTGCCCTGACCATCCCAGGGCCAGGTCCTGGGTGACTAGGGACCACCCCCACCCACAGCCAAACCTGCTGAGATGATTCCAGCTGGCCAGTCCTAAAGCATTCACCTCCCTGCCCTTCCTTTTTCACGGAAACCCCAGTCCTGCCCAGCCACTCCCTTGCTCTTGTCTGCTGCCTCCTGACCGCCCTGGCACCGCCCACCATGGCCCTGAGTGCACTAAACTTCCTCATCACCTCCTGTGGCCACATGACTTGACCATACCACATGGGCACGGACATTCTCGGAACACCAAGGCAGCCCCAGGAGGTATTTTTAGGTGGGGGCTGGGGCTGGGGAGTGGCTGGAAGGAAAATGGGGGTGGGCTGCAGCATCCTCACTCGCCTTCCCCCACCCCTGGTCTTTGCGCTTCGCCTCCCTAAGGGCAGACAAGTGAAGACACACAGGCACCAAAATAAGCAAAGTGACGCCACAGTGGAGGTGGCAGCTCTGGAGCTGCTGGCCTTGCTGCCCTTCTGGCTGTCCACTGACCCCTCTTCCAAGCGCTGTATGAGTCTCCTGTGACCACCAGACTGGGCACCTTTAACAGTGGACATTCCTTCTCTCTCAGCTCTGGACGCTGGAAGTCCTAGAGGAGGATGTCAGGGCCTCCCCCCCTCTGAAGTCTGCAGAGAGGATCGACCCACACTTGGCCCAGCTCTGGTGTGACCGGCAATCCCAGGGGTCCTTGGCTCCAGTCTCCCCTCTGCTGTTGCATGGCTGTCTTCTCTGGGTGTCTCTCTGTGCCTCTGCTCCTCCTACAGGGACATCAGCCATTGTACTGAGGGTCCACCCTACTCCAGGGTGACCTCACCCCAACCTCACCAATGACATCTGCAGAGACCCTATTTCTATATAAGGTCACATTCTGAGGTTCAGATTCATTAATTAAATCCACAGAGCACAGCCTCCTGCAGCCCTTCCACAGGCTCTGGAAGCTGAATGCACCCGGAAGGTACCGAGAACTCTCGGGGTAAGGCTGGAGGTGCTCTAAGGGAGGACCAGAGATGCCAGCTCACCCTGGAGTTCATCTGAGCCACCCCAAGTGAACCACCGAGACAGCTCATGCATAGAGAGCCCAGACGATCATGAAATCAGATGCCTGCTGAGGGCTGGCCAACCCAGAGGCTTCTCCCATCCACGTCTCACCCCGTCACTCCCCAGACTGGGCTGAGAGGTGGCCCTGCCCTCAGGAAGCACACACTCAGCAGGGAGAATCCTCCAGAAAGAAACCACCTGTGAGGGGTGCCCACTGGCCACAGAGCCCCAGGGTCCACAGAGAGCGAGGCCACCTCAGGACCTGCATGGAGACTTTACCTGCGTAGGCTGTGTTTTGATTTAAACAGCCTCTTGGGATGTGGGACTCAGAATGGTGGTGAGCCACTTCCTGCTGCAGTGTGTCCCACCCGGCCTTCTGTTTCACGAGCTCTGGTCACTGTATGATTTGTGAAGCTCCCTGGGGGAAAGGGACCTGCTGCCAGACTGATATTTACAAAACCAGGCCTGCCGGGAAGGAGGCAGCTCAGTGCTCAGGCCTTACCAATACTCCCCTGGGCTCATTGTCATCTCCATTTAAAAGCCAGACTGGGCCAGATGCGGTGGCTCATACCTGTAATTCCAGCACTTTGGGAAGCCAAAGCAAGAGGATCACTTGAACTCAGGAGTTCAACACCAGCTGGACAACATGGCACAACCCCCATCTCTACAAAAAAAAAAAATTAGCTTGGTGTGGTGGCGCATGCCAGCTACTTGGGAGACTGAGGCGGGAAGATCCTTGAGCATGGGAGATGGAGGCTTCAGTGAGCAGTGATTGCACCACGGCACCCTAGTCTGGGTGACCAAATGCGACCCTGTCTCAGGAACAAAAAATAAAGCAAAGTACAAAAAGACCTGGCCTGGGCACTCCGAATTCAGGAAAACCATTTCAGGTGTCACACAACAGATCCAACCTCAGTGATCTAACCCCCAACTTCTTCCCACATTAGCCACCTTCTAAAGCGATTTGATTTTCTCTGAATGAAAATTCATTTGCCACCTGCAGAGTGAATTTCGAGGAACCCGGCTCCGAAACTTCAAAGGCTCCCCTCTGCCCAGACCCCAGGGCTTGCAGGTGCCTTCCCTTCACAGTGAGTGCCTCTTCCTGTTTAAACTTTAATTTTGCAACTCTAGATGAACTGAATGTCAAGAGTTTGGGGTTTATTTTCCTCCAGAGAAGGTCGGTGGCGACTGGGTGATGTGACCACAGAGGTAGGAGGGCCGGGGAAAGACTTACCAGGAGTTTTCGTGTCTTTAGACTACATTAAGTCCAACCAGGGAGCACTGAGTCAGCTCTCAGTTATCTGGGGACCTATGAGCTTAGGGACTAACAACCCCACCCACCCCAAAGCCCTCTGCACCTTGCCTGCCTCACCCACGGGGACTTTGCACCTTTTGCCTGCACGGACTGAAAAGGTCAGCAAAGGACAGCGTGCAGGCAGAATTCAATCCTGCCCCCTTCTCTGCCTGCAGAGGGTGCAGTTAAAAAAAGATCAAGTCATTGATGCTGCATCCATTTATGTGGCTTCAGAGAACAGAGAATTGGTTCGAAGCAGGTGACTTCTCAAGGCTGTTCCCATCCCCGGCAGTGGTCTATGAAGCTTTGAAATCTGGAACCCTATTTGTTATACAAGAAACTCAGGTGCAGTTTTCAAGACAGGCCAGTACAGGAGACTCAGGGCTCAGCTGCCAGGGGAAGGAAGCTGCCCTGTTTCCTCTGCACTGTCAAGATACAAACGTGGATGGGAAGGGCACGCTCCACAGAAATTCAAAGACCATGCATCCTGGCTGCAGAGCTCATGGAGGACAGGCCAGATGCACAGGAAAAGTGAAGCAACGCCTGTGAGGCAGGTCAAACATTAAACCGACTCTATCAGCATCCAGAGGGGCTGTGCAGGAGCAGACACACCATGGGTATCTCCATGGGACACTCCTGAGTGTCCTTCCAAGAAAAAGCTGAAGGAGGGACCACAGCACCAGTTCCTCCCAACCCCAGCGCCTTGTGCTTCTCTGCCCTGTGCCCCTATTTCTACTCCTCCCTCCTTGGGCTCATTTCATCTTCTCCCTGACCTAAGCCCTAGACCTGGGATTGAGAGCTGTGGGTACAGACGGGCACAACTGAGCCCCGCTGGTCTTGCTGAAGTCTAAAGAGAAGAGTGACTGAGAGGAGCTGGCGTAAGTGACAGGAATTCATCCCCAAGAGTTTCTCTCGTGCAGTATCACAGCATCTGTGGTTCTACGTTGGAAGGAAGAGAATAAGACTCAGAGGGGTTGGAGGACAGAGCCACACAGCTAGTGAGCTCCAATTTAGTCTGCTGGGTGCTTAGCCCATGCTCAAAGCCACCATCCAGGCAGGCTCCTAAGTCTTCATTGGTGGTTGTTTGCATTGCAAAACCTTGGAGTGAACTACAGCAAAACTCTTTGTTTTTGTAGGGAGTTAAATTTTCTCTATGTATAATAAGAATCTCAACTTTTAATCATATTTTGTCCACTTTGGAAGAAATCATCTAATTTGTTATTAAACAGACACATCTCCTGACTTTTGATTGCAGGGTATTAACTAAGCTTTCCTTTTTTTTTTTTTTTTTTTTTTTTTTTGATGATTTCGGGACATTTGAGGGAGGGAGCAGTGACAGCCTCACTCCAGCTGTGTTGGTGCCATCCCTTGGGAAAGCAGGAGGTTTCAGGAACGGGAATCGTTGCTGGGAACAGGTGTTTAGGCCAAAGAATTCCAAAGAGGCTGGCATTGCTGCCTGCCCGGATAGTGGACGGAAACAGGTGGATGAAGGCCAGGTCGCCAGCGGGGATTAAGACTCATGAGATCAAAGCCCAGGAAAGAGGGTAAGTGGGAGCTGGGGCTCGGGTATTAAGACAACATCTGGAATCTCTCCCGTGTGGGTTATTGGGTGAACGGCATTCGGGGCCAGCTGTGTCCTTTCAGATAAAACTAGAAGATTCAAACCTTCTTTCGTTACATCTGCCCTCAGGGACAGGGAGGTTCTGAGGATTAAAAGCAGGGATCCTGCAGCTGGATGGGTAGCTGGGCCTTCCTTCAGCCTCTCTCTTCTCTATGCTCATTTATCCACATTGGATGGGACAGGCATCTCTGTGAGAGGCAGTGCTGGCCAGTGGTTTTGAGCCAGATGGTGTGGTTACCTTTCAAGGCATCAGGTCACCACTTAGCACAGTTAGCAGGCTGTGTGGCCTTGGGAAGTCACCAAGCCCCTGGGTGCCTCTGTAAGATGAGAAGAGCGCCTACCTTTGGGGCTTGCTGTGGGATTGCACTCACAGAGTTGCATGATGCCTGACGATGCTGTGGGTTATTATTGTCATTACTACTATTATCTGCCAAGGTTTCCCTCTTTGGGCTTGTGGTTGGGGTCCTGAGTGTTGATCCTTTAATCTTTCTAGGACAGGTACGGTGGCTCATTCCTGTAATCCCAGCACTCTGAGAGGCCGAGGTGGGAGGATCACTGGAGGCAGGCAGATCACTGGAGCTGAGGAGTTCAAGACCAACCAGGGCAACATAGTGCCCTGGCAACATAGTCTCTACAAAAAGTTTTAAAAAATTAGCCATGTGTGGTGGCACATGCCTGTAGTCCCAGCTACTTGGGAGGATGAAGCTGGAGGACTGCTTGAGTCCAGAAAGCAGAGGCTGCAGGGAGCAGTGATCACGCCACTGCACTCCAGCCTGGGCGACAGAGCAAGCTCCTATCTCAAAAAAAAAAAAAAAAAAAAAAAAAAAACAGATAATCTTTCTAGGACTCATTTCCCAGGCTCCATAATGGTGGTCTGCACAGGCAGCTTCTGGCCCTTAGTCTTCCTCTTTCTGTGGTGCCACTGCCAGCACAGGGAGGTCATTCTGTATCATGTCACTATGTCACTTGCTTGGTGTTTTACACCCATGGAAGATGAAACAGCAACTGCATGCAGCCTGGAGTGCTGGGAGGCAGCGAGAGTCTCGCTCCGCAGGCCCGCTGGCTTACTGTGAGGGCCAGAGGCAGCACAGCCTCTCTTGGTCATCAGGTATCAGGACTCAGGTGGAGAGGGTGGGGCAGGGGCTGGCAGTGGAGACAGGTCCACACTGGGAACCAGCTGTGCCAGGCAGTGTGGCCCTGAAACTCCTAAGGTGTGTCAAGAGGGGTCTTGCAGGAAATGGTTAGAGAACTCAGGTGTTGTGTTTCTCTCTGACGTATAAACATATGTCTCTCTAGACAGACAGGTCTCCCTATCCCTGCCTTACGTGGGAAGCACATCCGAAGGAGAGGTGCCCCCAGTGCCTCCAGCACCGGTCAGGCCTTTCTCAGGTGTTGGGCAGGGAGAGGTAGAGCCCAAGAGAAGCCTCAGCAGAACACTAACAGTGGAAAGGAAGCAGTGAGATGGAAGCAGGCTGCTTTGGTACATGCAGAAAGTTCTAGATAAGCCTGTTGGCTTAGAATCCTGAGCTCCGTTCACGTGAAGCAGCACTTCAGCGTGAGGCGGCGCTTGAGGGCCCCTTGTCTGAGTAAAATGTGGATGTTGTAGCTGGTTTTGGGACCAGATGGACTGTGGGACTCCCCCATCTGCACATCCCCCACTCACCGGGTGCAATATGCATTTAGCCACAGCAAGTGCTTACTTAGTGTTTGTTGCTTCCTGATACACAGAAATCTCTGTGATCCAAGCAGCATTTCTCCCACAGGACTCTACCCGGCCAACCCTCAGCTCGGCTCAGCTCAGCAGCTCGCTAACTGTGAAACTCGGACGGGCATCCTGTGATCACTCCAACACTTTAAATTCATCAAAGCGCAGAGCGCTGTCTGGCCGCTGCCCATGGCTCTGTTGTTCTGAGGGGCAAGGCCACAGTGACCTACAGCAGGGAAGAGACAAACACAGATCTGGTGCAGAGATTATTCAGGTTATGACAGGCAAGCAAGAAAGCAAGAGCGTTTCCTGCATGGCCACACCCGATCCCTTTTGAGCCTGGGCTTCGCTCCCGAATGAGGTCAGCAGGGGCAGCTGATTGTTTTTATTTTACAGGTACGGGACTCCCTCTGGGGTCTGACTGCCACACTCAGACACAGAAGGGGCAGCAGAGGCAGGGTTTCCAGAGACAGACCTCCTCAGTCAAATGCTGGCCACTTACCAGTCGGTAGCCTTGGAAATGTTATTTTGCCCCTTTATGCCTCAGTTTCCTCAGATGTAAATGGAGATAATAAATGCACCTATCTTGAGGAATAAATAAAATCACCCACAGGCCAGCTGTGACGGCTCATGATTGTCATCTCAATGCTCTGGGAGGCTGAGGAGGGAGGATCTTTTGAGGTCAAGAGTTCAAGACCAGCCTGGGCAACATAGCAAGACCCTGCGTCTACAAAAATTAAACAACTTGCAGGACTTGGTGGTGTGCACCTGTAGTCCTACCTACTTGGGAGGCTGAGGTGAGAGGACTGCTTGAGCCCAGAAGGTCAAGGCTGCAGTGAGCCATGATCACGTCACTGCACTCTGGCCTAGAAGACAGAACGAGACTATCTCAAAAAGTACATAAATAAAATAGGTCAGGGGCAGTGGCTTACACCTGTAATCCCATCACTTTGGGAGGCCGAGGCGGGTGGATCACCTGAGGTCAGGAGTTCGAGACCAGCCTGACCAATATGCAGAAGCCCCGTCTCTACTAAAAATACAAATTTAGCTGGGTATGGTAGTGCATGTCTATAGTCCCAGCTACTCAGGAGGCTGAGGCAGGAGAATCACTTGAACCCAGGAGGCAGAGGTTGTGGTGAGCCAAGATCATGCCATTGCACTCCAGCCTGGGCAACAAGAGCAAAAAACTCTGTCTCAAAAAATAATAGTAATAAATAAATAAAAATAAAATCACCCACAAAACATGCTGAAAAGACACCTGGCCTGCCGGAATCACTCGTGGAAGTTAGTCATTGTTACAGGGGTGGCTACTAATTTCACCTGTCCCCAGACACTGTGCACCCCACCAAGTGGTGGCTAGCAATCCACTCATGCTGTATTCAAACGGTCATCGCCAGACCCCTCAACTCCTACCCTAAAGCCCTGGTTTGCAAGGGCTGGGTATGTTTGCCAGGATTCTGCAAGAATTCTGGTTCAAGGTTCAAAGGAACCATTTAGGAGTCCAATCGGACACCATCACAACCCAAGGATGGCCCCAGCCCCTCTGCGAGGGGTTTAACTCAGCAGCCCCCAAACCTGCAGAGGCGTGCAGGAGGCCCCATCCCACCTGCGGGGACCCTGGCTGGGCCAGCCGTCCCTTCTTGTCAGTGGATGGAACAAAGGCCTCTCGCCCTTTCTGTACCTGGGAATGCAGGGCGGGTGGGGCGGGGAGTGGAATGAAAGTCTGATCGGTGGTTATTGGCAGAGGAAATTTGGTGTGCAAGAATGATAAATCCAGCCAGGAGAATAGGAAAACAACTTCGTGACCCGCTCCATCCCCTCATTTCCTGTTCCAAGGCGAGCCGACCGCGCTGCACCGGTCCAGGCTGGGCGCCCCCTCTCCCCTGCAGTAAAGAGGCAGCACAGGTTGGGACAGCTAGATGGGGGCAGTCCAGGCGTCCCGCCCACGGTTTCCTGGGGGTCAACAAAGGCGCCGAGGCCTCGCCCGTGTGAGGCAACCGCCCCGTGGTCCCACAGAACTTCTGGAAAAGTCTGCGCCCCCGCTTCCCGGCCTTCCCGATGCATGGCGCCCTCTCCACGAGCAGGTTCAGGAGGGCAAGAAAGGTTAGGCTGAGCGGAACAGCGCGGCCAGCGTTAGCAGTGTGCTCTGGACACCCCTAGGCGCCCACCTGGCCTTGCTCCCACCTCCCCTCGCCCCTGGCCTTCTTAACCGGCATTACCAGTGGAGGCATGAGGCTCGGGTGGAATAGGACTACTTGTTTGCGATTTGCTCGAGAACCTTCTAGGGAGAAGGCATGCCCGGCTCTGGACTTAGCCGAGAGTTTAGGGCAGGAGCGCCGGCGGGGAGTGCCCTGGGTGCTGGAGAATGAGTGTCCGGAAAGCAGTAGGGCGCGCTTCGTGGGTGCAACCAGGGCCACCTCGCGCACTTTCTTCCTACCCTGGGACAGCGCCTGGCCTGGGGCTGGGCGCACACACTGCATGGAACCAGCTCCGGTTCTTATGCCCCGGCCCCGCCCCTCCTACCGCCCCAGGCTGCAGGTGCTGCAGCGCTCGCTGGGCCTCCCGCGCTCCCCGGGGGCGCGCATTCCTCCATTTCAGGGAAGTCCCGGGGCAGGTGCCCACGTTGTCCGGTAGAAACCCGCGGGCTCAGGCCGACTTGCGGGGCCGCTTCTCCCAGGGAGAGAAGCTGGAGCTTCCCCCACGCGGCCCTAACGCGGGGCCGGCTGGGCTGGAGTGGGCGCTGCCAGGGTGTCCCAGCGCGCCCCCTGCCGACCGCGCGCTGCGGGGGCAACTCCACCTCCCTTCGGGAGGCCTCGTCCCCGCTGCAGAGAGACGAAAGCGTGGGTCCGTGACCAGCCGGTTTAGGAACGAAAACTCTAGAACTAAAAACAAAAAATAAAACTGGTGAGTGGGCAGCGTGGTGTTTCCCTCTGGGTAATGCTTGGCCAAAGGGGAAAATCGAATACTCCCGCCCACATCCGCCTCCCCCAGCAGGGGGAATTCCCGCTCTGCTCACCCACGCTGACCCATGCCTCCCGCCAGGTCCACTGCTCAGACAAATCTGTAGATTTCTGAGTATCCATAACTCGAAAAGCTTCAATGCACAAACGGGGTTTTACGCTGGTCGCGGCTTCACAAGGGGAAGGGCCTGCTTCCCTAAAAACAAAACAAAACAAAAAGGGCAAGGGCTCTTGCAAATGGACTGGAATTAGTAATTTAGCCAGGGCCTCTTCTAAATTCACTGCAAAATTCGCCAGCGTCTTATTCTTCACACACGACGCACCACACGAGAATCACCCCCTCCCCAGAATTTTGCAAAGCACGTTTGCTGGGTTTTCTCGCCTTTCCTTCCGACGAACTCGAATTAGAACCAGTGACCTGTCTCCGCGCCCCACCCTTCTTCCCCCACACAGTCCCTCCCCAGGGAGAATACAGGTGCTAAAAACGCCTGGGCCCCGCAGCTCCCTTCTTCCTCCTCGGTTTCTCGAATGACCCAAGCTGCTTCTTTCTGCCCTCGGAAGATGGTGCAAATTCCGCGGCTGCTCGCTCTCTCCAGCGCCGCAGCCCTGACTCCGACCCGGAGGCCTGAGCGCCACAGCCCTGACTCCGACCCGGAGGCCTGAGTTCAGCCGCTTTCGCTTCCTTGCGGGCGGTTCAACCCTCTGAATACGCAGATTCACTTATTTATGTCTTTTAATGTAGTAAGTGGGCAGCTAAATGAATTGCAATTTGTAATTTTTATGGTTAATTTGAAATCTCGCTCTTGTTGGCTAATCCTGTTAGTTGGTGGCAAAACAAGGAGAAACGCGTGTTTCAGCAGCAGTGATTCTAACAGGCATTTTATGTTAAATTACAGCCGAGGCCAGAACAAAAGGAGGCGACGAACTTGCAGGCCCCGCGGCCTCTGCGGGTCCGCGCTGCCGGTGTGAGCCCACAAGGAAAGCACCCCAAGTTGGCTGGCCCCGCGCGCCCCCGGCCACACCCGCCCATCCTGGCTTCGAAATTAAGAAGCCCAGTTTGGCACCCCAATTATGTCTGTCAATGTCCCCGGTGCCCCAGACCCGCGCTCCGCTGCCTCCTGGCTTCCCATGCCGGCGAAGCGTGGCCTTGCCGAGGGCGCGGGGCTTCACGGGCGCGGAGGCCCGAGGGCGGGCCACTCCGGATCCCTTTCTTCCCCGCCTCGTCTCTTCCTCTTTTCCTTTCTTTTCTCAGCTCTTCCCGTCGTTTCCCCTGCACCCAGTCCCAGTTCAGGCGCTGTCCCAGGGTAGGAAGAAGCGCATTGCCCTGTCTTCCCCTTCTCTGGTCCCCTCCCCGGCCTCCGGCTCCCCACGGTGCAGGGCTCCGGCGGGGGCTAGGCCGGCCGAGTGGGTTTCTCAGCCGCAGCGCTTGGAGCTGGGGGAGCAGGGGCATCCCCGCTGGCGGGCCGGCACCCCGCTTTTCCGGCTACCCGCGGGCCAGGTGCGGGTTCCAGCACGCCGGGCGCGTGTGGGCGGGGGCGCGGGGGCGCGCGGCTCCGCTGGTCCGAGAGTTGTCGCCGGCGCGGCGTTTCTTGTCCCCGGCGCCTGCTCCGTGCCGTCCCAGTGAGTTTGATTGAAACGCGGCTGCGGGAAGGGGTCGACCGAGGCAGGCTGCGAGCAAGGCGGGGGTGGGGGCGAGGAAGGGGACCCGGAGAGGCCCCGGAGGGCTCGGCCCGCCACCGCCGCGCGGCGCTGCTCGGGGACTGCTATTTTGAAAGGCAGCGGCCGCCCCGCGGGGCTCGGGTTGCAGGGTCAAGTGTCACTTCCTCCGCAATCTCAGTATTCCTGTAATGTTTTAAAGGGACGAATTCATTCCGCGGGGCTGTGTGATCCGGGGGAGGCCGCGAGCGCGGCGCGATCGATGGCGCCCACTGATAGTTCATTCTGCGCCGCGGAGCGCGGGACTGTGGACCCAGGGAAGCCCCCGCAATGGTGTTGGCGTCCCCGCAGCCACGGCTTGGTCCTTTAGGGAAGGGGGGAGAGTTCAGGCACCGGGACAAATCCTAATTGTCTTTCTGATTTTTCTTTCCCTTCGGTCCGCTTTCCCCGAGACCTCCTCCACCCTCAGCCCGCCTTGCAAACGTTGTCCGCGGGGATGGCCGCGCGATGTAGAAATGGGTCTCGTCCAGAGACGCGCGCACAGCCGTCCCCGCGCACACGAGGCACGCCAGGGCCGGCGTCCACGTGCTGGCAGCGCCCCAGGTCGGGTCAGTCAAACCCCACAGTGGGGTTTCAAACGGTGTAGGGGAGGGGAAGTAGGAAAGGTCATTCAAACAAAAACAAAAACAAAAAGTCAGTGGCTCTTCTAGCTAAGGGGAAGACAGTGGGGGTGGAAAGTTAATAACAGGTAAGATCGCTGTCTACCCTCCCGCTGTTTTTAAGACAAAACATTAAATAAATTAAAAGGGAAAATACCCCTGTCCCTTCCACCAGGCCTCCGCCACATCAGGACTCCAGTGGGGTAAGAGTAGGTACACACTGGACTTGCCAGGTCTCCAGTCCAGCAGTCCTCAGATTAGGGACTGGAGGAAGGAAGTGCAACTCCCAGAGAGGGCAGCCAGCCTTAGCGACGGTGACAGCTTCCCCACGGTGGTCCAGCAGCTGGAGCTCCAGAGAAAGAAGGGAGGAAGCACTTCCGGAAGTCTCTGCCAAGAGATTTTAAATTGTGTTGCCTGAGGATTTTGTGGTTGAAAGAATTACCTGGTGACCTGCTAAATCTCTGAGTTTGTTGAAAGGAAATGACCTCCCCTTAGAAACCCCTCGGTTCCTGCCTACCTCCGAAACCAGAGGCTGTGCCTCTCTTTCCCTTTTCTTTCCTGCTCCCCACAGAAGGGAGGAGGAAGGTTACAGCGTTTGTGGAATCAGGAATCAGGCTGTCTGGCAACGTTTCATGGTTGTATTTGGCCCACTAAATCCTAGGTCGCTCTTCCTATATCCGACTGTAGACTCACCTTCTATATCTTATACAAGAGATATGTAGATGGCCCATAAAAGGCGGACTTCATACAAACTGCCCTGTGTGAGCAGTGGGATTCACTGTAGGAGGTGCAGGGGGTATTTTCTTAAAGGCATTTACACCCAGGAGTTCACACCACGTTGAGGAGACCAGAAGGTCTTTGGTGAACAGGCCACCAGAGATGGGAAGGAATTTCTGTTGTTCTCTGGTGCCAGTTATGGCTGGATCTCTGCGTCCTGGAGCCTAGCAGTCCTGTGATGTGGTGAGTCAACCGAGACCCAAATGTAGGCAGGAGGCATCCTTGCTTCCTTCCAGAACAAGTCAGAAAATCAAGTAAGGAGAAAATAAGTGACATGGTAGTGAAGGCACAGTTATTTACATGGTTGTTATGGGGTTCTCTCCAAGCTTTAGATATATCTGTTTCCGAAAAGCTCACTTTTTAAAAAATCAGATTTGAAGATTGTTGGAATTCTGGTTCTTCATAATGAGTCACATCTCTATTTATAGTCAGTTCATTTTCACTCGCATGTGAAGGTCTCAGTTTGAGCATCGTGTTCTAAACTGTCTGCAGTTTGATTTACTGGAAATACACCTCCACAGATAAGGTGTAGATTTTCCTAGTTCCATTCCCAATAGTATAAGCGTTATGTGTGAAGTTATTTGCATTTGTGTTCTCTGTCATTTAGTTGCACCCAGTGAAGAAAAGAGCAAATCACAGAATTTAAGATGTATAAATAGGTAAGTGCACAATAATACAACAAACCTGAAAGAGTTGGCAAGTTAAACCTTGAAATTATTTATAAAATTCCATATCTTATAAGGGACAACCATTAAGGGGCCTGTGGTGTCAATAATTTCTGTAATGCAAGCCCTTTAATACTTTTCCACCACAACCTAAATTTGCCTGTAATCAAGCTGCTGAGGTATGAATGCTGCATTCTTATTTTCCTCCTCCTATAAGCCTCTGTACCAAAACATTCAAAGGCCAGGCATTTGCTTTTTATTTATACATATTAAAAATTTCTTCTAGGAGTGAAGTTTCCAAACACAATGTGTCTGGACAGGAAGCAAATGTTGTTTTAGGGGAAAGTTCTAATAACCCCATTTATGCAAGCACATTAGAGCAGAAAGAATCATTTCTGTTAGTTAACATTTTTGAGCCAGAAAATTAAAAACAAATATTTAACTTCCCAATTTGGAATTCGGGCTGGCATTGACTGCTAAACTTTTACAATGCATACTCAATGAATTAAACACAATCTCTACTAGCCAAATAAAACTGCCTCCATGTGGCTCAAAATAAGTTTGAATAAACTGAAAGATAAATAAAATGTGCGGGGGACACCCAGGAAGAGAGCTGATGTGTGTGAACTTGGCCAAAAGACGGCTTTTGGACTCTGCTCAATTCAGGGCTTTTATGACACCTAATAAAGCTATACTTAGAGAAGACAAATATTCAATAAATATGAACACATCCTTAAAAACATATGTACACTCTTCACTTTTCCTCTTCCAAACCTACTTTTACATCAACTTATAATCGGACATGAATTTCCCCTTCTCCATTTCTCATCACAAATTTGGTGGGCTCCTAAAGCGTCCCATTTCTCTCTTTTCATTTGGGGCCCCCCACCTAATAAAGGAGTTGTGATTGCGGATGGATTTGATCTGATTTCCCCTGAACAGGCTGGCGGTGGGAAGCAGGCATTGGAGTCCCACAGCTCACTGGACTGCAGCAGCGAGCCCTTCACGGTTGCAAAGGAAGGAAATTCCTAGCGGGTCCACTCTTCAGCGTCCGCCCCGCAGGCCTAGCGCGATGTCCTTTTCTGTCTCAGGACACACCTGGCTGGGCTTCCCTAAAACCGGGCTTAGCTGGACTCCTTAGACCTGGGGATGAATTCTTGCCAAGTATTTCCAAATTTTCCCTACACCCTGCCAGTGCAATTCATGTCTCCAAACCCCCTCTCCTCCACAAAAACAAAACAACAAAACCCCAGGTCCAGGAGATCAGGCCCAGGCCGGATCCAAGACGCCGCAGCCAGGCAGCCCCGCCGCGAGCCTGTGCGGGCTTGAGCCGGCTCGGCCCCAGGAAGCCCCAGTCCCGCGCTCGGCAGCGCGCGCCCAGCGCCCAGAAGCAGCAGCTCCAGGCGGCCGCGCTCCCCGCCCCGCCGCGGTGCGTTCGGATGCCTAGCTCGCGTCCAGACCCGCGGGATGCAGACCCGGATCAGTCAGGCTTGAGGGCTGCTCCGCATAGACCAGCGTCCGGGGAAGGCACACAGTGGCCGAGGGCCCGCCCGTCTGGGCTGCGGCTGTGATGGTATCCGCGCTGCTTGTGCCTTGGGGATGGGAGGCCACCCTTGCTGACTGAAGGGCCTGAAGAGGAGGCTTTTGGGGTGCCTCTAGCCTCACCCTGGATTCACAAAATCAAATACTACCTCCTTTCCCCTTCACCACTCCCACCGCACGAATACACATGGAGAAGAAAGACTTCTGTTCCTGTTGCTGAGTTGCAGCTATGCCCCTCGGCCTCGGAGGACGGCTCACCTTTACTGTGAATTTCTAGCTGAAGGAACAGTGCTGAGAACAGGGATAACAACAGGACCTGTCTAACAAATGCATCCACTGGTTACAAACGGCTGGGAAGAAGAGCCCAGGGACATTCCTCCCAGACCCAAGGAAAGGGAATGGAGACACATTTTGATGTTTTCTACATACTTGGTCAACTTGCAGCTACTATAGAACCCACTCCCCACAGCCAGCTCTCCCTCATGTTTTAGCGAGAATTTTGTTCAACATTCTACATTCTAAAGAACCCTTCTTCACCAGATTAAGCGCAGAGTTTCAGCAAAATAAGTCAGAGGAGAAGGATGGGGTAGAGATGGAGAGGAAGCTGGTGCTGGGGCCCACTCTGTCCTGTCGGTTGCGCCTGCACTGTCTCAGGTACCATGCTGGACAGTGGGGAAAACAAAAACTTGGAGAACAGCTCAGAAAACTCCCCAAAGGTTTTATAGCTTAAAGATAGGGAGAGGAGGAGGCAGGAAGGGTCAGGCTCTGCAGGCCTTTAGAACGATCAGATGTCTAATGAAAATAAATACCTTGTAAACATGTGGGTGCCAAGTAACCAGAAGAGAGCTTAGACCAAGAAGGTCGGAGGTCTTTTCCCACCTGTGAGAAAATAACAGATCCTGGAGCTCTGCAGCCTTAGCAATGAACTGGATTACTGATTAGTGTTTAGAGGCACCCATGCATGAGTTGGCAAACCAAGCCATTGAAATGTGGAATCAGCAGGATCTGGCTTTTTGAATGTCCATTACTTCTCATATACATGCATATCTATGTCAAATATGGAGAAGAAGAAAAAATTTAAAAGAGAAACAGAACCCCGCTTTATCAGATTAATCGAAATGGAGTGATAGATTCTCAAATTTGAAATAACCCCCGCCCCAGGAATTCTCCAGCAGTCTCTGCAAGAAGCTCTCAGACAGACAGCAGTTAAACAAGGTCGGCAAAACCAACTCTCAGATTAAACAAACTTCTCTTTCTGTTTCTGCAACAGGAAGAAAACATTCCACAAGCTGATGGAAGCCCTCACAGACATACATCTGTTATGGCTTTCCCAGAATCCTGACCCCTGGACAAATCTTTTGGGAACACCCTTCTCTATCTATGGAAAATGACATTCCTAATCCCTGCCCTGCCATCTCACATATGCAGAGTCTGCAAGGGAAGCCAAAACCCCTTGGTCGTCCTCACTCTCAGCCCTCTGCCCAAGAGGGGGAACTTTGATCAAATGCAACTTTCTTCTCCTTTGGCCCCAAGCTTCTGTGCTCTCCGTTCACACTCACCCAGAATGCAAAAGCATTTGGATTCAATGCTGTCCCCTCTGGCTTTCTGTCTGTCATTTGGCCTGGAAAGGATGTTCAGAAATGCCATGGACAGTTACAGTTCGACTCAGTAACTTCCACATGGCTCATGAATGTCCTTGGCTACCCGGGGAACTGCAGCCCTCTGCCCCCCAAGTTAATTGCTAAATGATTTGCAAACTTAAACAATTATACATTCTCTCTTGACTTGCCCCAAAGAAATCATGTTAATTTATGACACACTCACATGAGCCTGATTAACAAACCTAGACTAAATTTGCAGGT